CTGGGGCTGTCTGGGCGACCGAAGCGCAGGTGTCCCAGTGCCGTGGGACAGAGTTGGGATACTCGTGGTTGTCGTATGCCCAGCACTCATCCCGGCGCTGAAACCCTTCTGCTCCTCTGGGTGGTCCTTGAAACGCTGGGTCCTGCTGTGCTGTGGGAATTACCTTAGTACCTGTCTGTGGCAACGCAGCTTACGCTTTGGTCCTCAGTGGCTGTCCTGCTGGTAGCCATAAAGATCGCTCTTGTGTGCGCTCGAAATAACTACTACTGCTACTAAGAATACATTTGTACGTAACAAGAGCTGTATCCTGCTAAAGGAGATAGCAGAGCGTAAGAATGGGAACAAGCAGAGCGAATGCACAATGTTCCCAGTGTTCAGCTAGCCTTTGGTCATTTCCAGCTCAGTCTTCCCTGACTGTATGTAGTTGTCTTTATTTACTAATTTCAGGGTCCAGTTTTCTCCTCATCCTATGGAAACTTTTAGCATTGGAAATGCATCCTTTCGCAAATTGCTTTACGGCTCAATAACCTGTTATCTGAAGAACAGCTTCCTTTTGTTGGTTTGAACCAAGCCCCTGCAAACTTAATTTTATGTCTCCCAAATTCTTGATTTTTTTTTTTCCTAGCAATGAAGTGTTGTGTTTACATATCAAATAAGTTATTATAATAGGTATATGAGAGAGGGAATCAAAATAGATTAATATGTGGCGTTCAGTACTTAATTGGAAATATGAGTATTTAAAAGTACGTTCAAAACTTTTGGAGATAAGAAATGTTACAGATCTATTACAAAGCTGTGTATTGTTTTCCCCAGAAAAACTTGGAAGTCATTGGCAGTTGCATGCAGCCATTCTGTGTTTTCATTCAAATGCCTGTCTTTAAGTCCAATCTTTCATGATTATACTGTAAAAAGACAAGTTTTCTTTTTTCCTTACAGCTTGACCTGTAGAGGAAAATACTTTATCAAAATTATTTTTTTAACTCCTTTAGGGAAGTAGAGAACTTCATCAGCGGAAACAGCTGCATTAACAAACAGATCTATCATTTACATCTAATGACACAAAACTGCAAAGGGGGGATAGACCTCTTGGATACAGTTAATGTTTGCTAGTTAGAAGTACAAAATTGAGATAGGTTTCTTACTGAGCAGTCAAAACTTTCTTGCTCTAAAATGTGTGCAAATGTCTGTAAGAGGAGGTTCATATGTACAGCAAGGTGAACTGTAGTCAATGGTAATACTTGCTTTCTTGTACTTCATTAAACTGAAGGACCAATTTAATTTGGTTTCTGAGCAATTAAGAGTGTAGTTTCACATACACATCAAACTGCTGTTACCCAGCACTGCTGCCAAAAGAAACAACCCACCAAAAAAAAAAAAGTTACTATTTATCTGGGTAAGTTCCTTAGCTTGATTCACTCCGTGTGGCCTTACAAACAGTTATGCTGGCGCTAATAAGTGGTGGGAGGTAAGTGGACTGGCTGGTTTACACTGGTAAAGCTCTGCTTCTGCTAAAAATTTATGTGAAAGTGCAGCTTTATTTTCCAAGACTGCTTAGTCCATATCCTGTTATGCTGCAGTTGCCAGCAAACTAATAGCTGTCAAACACTTACAGTATCCCTTGTCTTAAAGTTCTCGAAGCACTTTAGAAATACAATCCTCTCAGTTTCACACCTAAAGAAATGGGAGCACAAGCTGATTTCCACACACACCCCCCCCACCCCCAGGTGGTAGACTCTAGGTGTCCTGATTTATGGTTTAAGTGTCCTGTTAACTTAACCTTGATTTCTCTGAGGGGTGTTACATTTGTTTATCCCTGCTATCGGTGGTGTAACCATAAAGTGAATATTGAAATACCAGATGAAATTATGGTAAAATACATAGGTGCAAAACAACTATTTTCTCTTGAATTCCAGGCCTTTGGGACTTATTAAAAGGAGTAACTCGTGTATGGACACTTTCTTCGCTCATTGGTATTTGTGTGACACAAGATCAATACCAACTGTTTTATCTGGATTACTCTGCCAATGGTGAACTGGTCGTTACTCCTAATTTTGACTGAATTTGAACAAGTAATATAGATTACTAAGCCTCTAAGATATTTAGCCTTGTTGTCCTATGCTTTGGGATGAGTTTATGGGAGAGGTTTCACTTTTCTGGAGGTGGTGATTTTCTCAAGTGTTATTAGCATATATCCTCGCAATTGGGTAACCAACACGTGTGTGTTTTGAAGCAGGTCTCTTGGAAAGAAAAGGAACATCCGTAGCAAAACTAAATTCTAGTAAAATGGTCTAAATATAGTTACTCCCTTTTCTTTGGAAAAAGTGTTTTTGCAAAGTATTACAATGTGGTCTTAAATATGGCATGTTTTGAAAATGATTTTGAAAGTGACCGAAATTAAATTACATTTTAATTGCTCCCATGACGTACTTTTTGCCGAATCTAGATTTCTTAATACTTTGAGCAAAACTTCACTGTTTATTATTAAAATTCACTTACATGTCTGATGATCTTTTCCTTATTCAGTGAGCACTGAATAATTGTATGCTACCAGACTGCAGGAAAAAGCTTTAATATAACTACCAAATTACATTTATTTCAGGTTTCAAACCTATCACAGGGCAAAGAAAGCTTGTGGGTGCAGTTATAGCACCTAAGATTTAGATAGTTCCATTAGCGAAATTATGTTATTTCTTAAGTGTTCTCCAAGGAGACATGGGATTAAGTGGGTGTCCCTTGTGTTTCTTTTCGCAGTCCTTATTTATGTGTTACTTCAAGCTTTCAGGTTTTATTCATATATGGGTTGCATGTGAATTTAATTCATATAATTTGCATGTGTATTAGAGGGTTCTTTTTCCTATTAACTTCTTGTCATATTCTTCTTCAATCACTGAATCGTTAATTGGCTTATGACAGCGCAAATATTGTAGAAGTGACACCTCGATGAAGGAGTGAGTTTTATGTAGACTGTGTAAAACTAGACACCTGTTTAATGTCTGAGAAACTTATTTACATACTGCTTCTTCAAGAGACAAAAGATGCTTGCAGACATCTGAATCCTCAAAAATAATCCTTCAGAAAAGTAGGAATGCAAATTTTTAACACTTTGAGAAACAGAAATAAGAAAATTAGAACATTTTGGTATTGCTACTGTTAGACATTGCATTTTAGTACAGGAACAGTGTGAGTGGAGCTTTACCGTTCTTCTAGTTGCCTGTGAAGAAAAGACAGTGCTAAAATATGCAATTTTTTTATCTTGCGCTATCTTAGTAACTGATCTTCCTCTGGAGCAGTAGAGGCTGCAAAAGTTTTATTTCATGATACCCTAGAGGCAAATGCTCTGTAACTTCTGCAGTGTTTCACCTTAGTTGCTCTATCCTTTGCCATACCAATTACAGTAGTTACAGTACTAACTAGTGCACAGCACAAACACAGAGATTTGAGTTCTCTGCAGACAGAGGGTTCTTCCCCTGATGAGTCAGCGCCTTCAAAATGCAAACGTTATTTATTTGTTTTTGGCAGAAAGTTCTGTTTCCCTTACCAAATGTCACAGCCATGCTCTCAGTGAATTTGATGCTTGAGTTGTTAAACAATTTTACAGTAAAAAAAGTTTGATTAAATTTTCTTTGTTTTCTTTTTCCCCCGCTCTCATCTTCCCTTACGTAAAATAAATAAAAAAATTACTTACTTGATGAAGACTGGTTCAAGGAGACTCAAGCTAAGAGACTGTGACAGCCGTAGAAAACTGAATCCTTAAACAGGTTTAAGTGGCAGATGGTACAAGAAATCATAAAGTTGCATGCAATGAGCTAGGCAAGTGTTTACTTCTTGTGTATGTGACTGCTAAAGAACGGATGAAATCATGGCAATTATATACTCTCATTGGTGTACTTTGTACTTCTCACTTCCATCTGTTTGTGGAGCTTGATGTCAGAATTGTTGAACAGCTAGAGTATTTGGTCCATATCCTAGCCAACTGGATAGTAGAGTTGGCACCTTCAGCCATAAAAGTGTTGATGGAGAGAACGTGGGTGATGAATGGAGACAGCATCCAGCAGAGAGGGAAGGCAAAGAAGCAGTGATGGGGTAGCACACACAGCAGCTGGCATCTGCTCTTGAAAGCTTTGTCCACTGCACTGAGTTCCTCTTTACTCTGTCCACATCCTTTGCAATTCAGGACGGTTTGGTCTTCAGGCACCTAAAACATTTTTTTGTTAACGCACTTTTAGAAGCCCAACACAGTTTGTAATTTGGGTTGAGTAAAGACTGCCTGAAGAAGTTGCTTAGCGTGCTTTTAATAACTGTGAAGGCAGTGCTGCATGTGAACATTTCGCTGCCAGCAGTGCTACGTTGTGAACTTTTTCACTGCTGTACGTATAACAGGATGTTTTGTTTTGTTAGCAGGATAGCAGTTTTGGGTTGTGACAAACGCCAGCACTACAGGAACCACAGTTTCACAGTGAAGAGCCGCTGCTTTCACAAGTTCTGAAACTACCAGCCAGTCTTCCTTGAATTTTGGTGTGTGTGAGTCCTTGGTGGAGGTTGCATATATACATGTTTTCATGAAGAGAAGTGAGAAGCCAGAAGGTTATAGACAAATGAGGCCTAAGACTTTTCCTGCCAGTAACTATACTGGCAGCAGCCAGCAGATGCTACAGGAAATACGAGAGAGCCTCAGGAATTTACCTAAACCATCAGATGCTGCTAAAGCTGATCACAGCATGGGCAAAATGCTATCTGAAGATCCTAGACAAGGCCGAAATCCCCCCAAATTTGTAACATATCATAAAGTTTTGCAGGAGATAAGAAACTCACTTCTGCCTTTTGCAAACGAAACAACCTCAGCCGTCAAAGGAACATCAGAAGTTAATCGACAAATGCTGCAAGACTTGCAAGCTGCTGGCTTTGATGAGGTGAAATATTTTATTTTCAAGATTTGATGTTCTGCCAACTATAAACAATTAGTAGGTGTCAGAGGGCTTGTTGATCACAGAATGTTTGAAGAGCATATGATAAGCAAAATAGCTTCTTCAAAATCTGGTAGGTTCCTAATTAGGACGTAGTGAAATTCGTAATAATGGGGGATGAAGAAGAGGAATAGAAGGATTTAGAGAGGCTTGGCTTTGGGTTTTTTTTCTTTTTTTAAGCATCTTGTGCAGTTTGTTCTTATGTGGTAGGGGTAGGTTGTTTTAATTATATCATTTTAGACAGAGAGAACTGGACTCTCTAGAACATGGATTTTGCCTCTGATACGAATGGAAATTTGGATTGTGCTCAATTAAAATATGTTGATAAAATATGGCCATTCTAAATTGAAAGGCAGTACCAAATATTTCAGAAATGAATTTTAATGAGCTTTTTACATCTATGGCTTATAGAAATTCAGACTTTGTGGGGAAGGAAATTTGGCTATCCTTACTTTATGCACTTTGTCAGATACAGATAAAATAACACAGTACATGACAAAACCAGTTGCAAAATGTGTTCTCTGCAGTATACGCTCAAGACAAAAATGTCAAGTCTCTTGAAAATCTTGGACGGGAGTAATTATTCTACTGTTATTTTCATTATAAGAACAGGGAACTAAATAATTGTTCAATTTATTTTTTAAATTATTGACTAAACTTATTTCAATTAATTCATTTTAATAAGTGAAAGGAGTCTGAAAAGTGGTTTCCAGGAATAAAAAATTAATACACTTATAGCTCCTGTGTTTTTACTGGGATTTGCACATCAAAGTAAATTACACTTGTTTCAATGCCTTCTCTGTAAACCTGAGTACAAAAGCAGGTTTAAAAAAAAAAAGCTAGCAAACCACTCATCTTTCCAAAGGAAAAAGGCACAGTATCACAACAGGGATTGCCTTTACAGGAGTGCGCTGCTTGTAGTAGCGACCAGCTCACAGGTTCTGCTGGCTGTGTTGCTTCGGTATTTACAGAGATCTACCTCTACTAAGCGTGAGCTTCTCCAAAACTATCAACTAGCTTTTCCTCAACAATGTCGCAGTGTAGAGGTGCTGATAGTGGTTTTTCATGTTCCTTTCACTTGCTCAGATACACAGTCCAGGCTGTATTTTCAGTAAGAATGGAAGGATTTTATAATGATAAATGATTTTGTAATAATTTGCTCCTGCTCTGTGGTTTGTTGCTGAGGTTGGTTTTTTTCATAGAATCATAGAATAGTTTGGGTTGGAAGGGACCTCTAAAGGTCATCTAGTCCAACCCCCCTGCCCTGGGCAGGGACATCGTCAACTAGATCAGCTTGCTCAGAGCCCCGGCCAACCTGACCCTGAATGTCTCCAGGGATGGGGCATCCACCACCTCTCGGGGCAACCTGTGCCAGTGTTTCACCACCCCCAGCACAAAAAATTTCTTCCTTATATCTAGCCAATCTTTCTTGTAAGCCCCCTTTAAGTACTGAGAGGCTGCAATAAGGTCTCCCCGAAGCCTTCTCTTCTCCAGGCTGAACAACCCCAACTCTCTCAGCCTTTCTTCAGAGGAGAGCTGTTCCATCCCCCTCATCATTTTCGTGGCCCTCCTCTGGACCCGCTCCAACAGGTCCGTGTCTTTCTTATGCTGAGGGCTCCAGAGCTGGACGCAGGACTCCAGGGGGGGTCTCCCCAGAGCAGAGCAGAGGGGCAGAATCACCTCCCTCGACCTGCTGGCCACGCTGCTTTGGATGCAGCCCAGGATACGATTGGCCTTCTGGGCTGCGAGCGCACATTGCTGGCTCATGTCCAGCTTTTCATCCACCAGTACCCCCAAGTCCTTCTCGGCAGGGGTGCTCTCAATCCCTTCATCCCCCAGCCTGTATTGATACTGGTGGGGGAAATAGGAAAAAATTAGTTTTGTTGTGTGATTGTTTTTTTTTTTAAAGTAGATCGGTTCTCAGATCCATTTTTACAGATTGAACCTGCAGTCATTTTTGCAAACTGAAGAATGGTATGTGGCTGGATAATAAACTAGAAAGGTATTTTAAGTTGGTGTTTTTGTTGGATCCTTTGTATCTTGAACCCTTTTGCTCCTACCCTTTGTTCTTGGATACAACTGAGAATTCCCAGGACACTTGTGGTTATGTGGACCTTTTTTCAGGCACAGTGCCATCGTAAGCCGTTTCTGCCATGTGTTAACCCACAGTTGTGTTGCCACAATAGTCCATACGGCGTTGGCCTGTGAACACCACCGGGAACAGATACAGCTGAAGTGGGAGAGCATTTTTCTTGGTGGGGCTACTTGAGACAGCAAGTAGGAATGAAATGAGAATATATTTTGAGCTGGGATTGTTTTACGGACTGGATCGTAGCTGGGGTGTGTTGGCCAGCTGTAAGCGGCTGATTTTTACCTTTTTTTTTACTTTTTTTTTTTTTTTTAATATATTGAAGGTCACAAATTTTCTGGTTATTCCCCCCATCCCTCAAGTAGTAGGTAGTATTCAGGGTTAAAGCTGAACAGATAGATAGATATCTATCAGTATCCGGTGTGTGTATATATAGTGTGTGTGTATATAGATAGTAAGATATATATGTATAGTAATTATGGGAGAATGCAGTTCATTGTGTTTGGTTTTTTTTAAAAGAAGACACCCTAAATAGCTTACAGGAAATCTCTCTTCCTTATTAGATTCAAGTGCAGTCCTTGTACCTTCAGTGTAAGGTGAAGACTCCTCAAGACATTGAATAGTTCATGTCACATAGGTGACCAAGGTTTTTGTTTTTCAGCTAGAGGGGGGAGAGAACCTGTTCAAACATAACGTGAACTGAAATGATTGCTTCAATATGCCAAAGCATGGCCATAACAAATCACTAAAGACAGTGTGCTTAATTATAGGGAGTTATACTGTGGATTTGTTTCAGACTTGCTGAGTCAGCTGCACAAATCCTGTGCAATATAACTGGGAGAGCAGTGCCTGACTTTTAACCCTCTCTGATATTCTGCCACTGTTGCTTGACCTTGATCTCCTTCAAGTCAGTGGAAAAACCACTGATCCATAATACATTTTCCATTGACAGAGTTGGGATTGGCCATCAGATCAAAACTTGTGTTTGGTCTCTAAGAACACAGAGCCTAAATCTGCCGCAAACGTAATAGAATTTCTGCCAATAATGTTGTCTTCATCAGGAAGAATTCTTAGGGAGAAACTAGTGGATATTTGTTGACAAAAAGTTGTGCTGAGTTGAAGGAAAATGAGCAAAAACCAAAGTTCTGAGTTTCGCATTAGGGTATCTTTCATAGAATAACTTAGGTTGGAAGGGACCTCTGGTCATCATGTAATTAGCTGTTACCTGGGTAGCACGTATCAGTGCATATAAGCAAACTGTTTGTATGAATAGCAAAGTGACATGATTTACATCAAACTGCAGTGCTTCAACAAGTTAACTTTTTTCCCTGAAGATCCAGACTGTATTAGTGTTTTGGAGGATCTGTTGTGGAGAAGACACTTTAAAATTAGTTTTAAATCAATTGAGAGAAATCAGTTATGTACTTTGGTAAAATTACTGGAGGATATCTGGCTAAATAACCATGATTTTTGGTATTTTTGCCATTTTCTTGTAATTTATTTTTTATATATAATTTTCTCTTTAGGATATGGTTATACAAGCTCTTAGACAAACTAACAACCGTAGTATAGAAGCTGCTATCGAATTTATAAGCAAAATGAGCTACCAGGATCCTCGTCGGGAACAGATGGTTGCAGCAGCAGCAAGACCTGTAAATGCAGGTATGAAACCACCAGGTAGGTGTATCCATGGTAACTCAGTAACTTACTGAGTATATTCTTATAGGTGAAAAATATAAAATAGCAAATTCCTCCTTCATGTGCTCACAATGAAACAGAGGAAATGTTGAGATAGGGTTTTCTGCTTTTAAAAATAGCATGTAAAGCATATAATGTAATTCTTCTGAAAGATAGGTGTATTTGACATGAATTTCTTAAACATTTCTTTTAATAACTGCGTGGTTTTAGTATTGCATGTAAGTATTTTATACAAGGAATGGCATTCAGGTCTCATTTTAGTAATTTTTGTCCCTTATTGGTGGGATGCCCATATTTTGTTCTCAGTGTCAAGTGCCATTTAGAAGTCAGTGGTGAGCACTGAGTTCTTATTTTAATTTTTGTCTCTCTTTTCACACATTCTCCCACACAGCAGCACTACATATGTGTACTTCTGTGTATAAATATTATTTGTGTGTGTGTGTATTTATATATCATATGGCTACAATATTTGTATTTTAGGATGTCCTGTCAAGATCCCTGTCTCCACTTAATTCTCTGCTTGGTTCCGGATTTTGTTTGTATGGTTTTTAAGGCAGACTTCATGTTTTTTATAGAAGTTAGGGGACGGACTATAGCTTTAGTAGCAACAGATTCAGAATTTTGCTGTTTGCTTTTATTGCTCTCTTAACACATGTAAGCACATTTTAATAAATCTTGATGTTTTTCTTTTTTTACCAGGTTTTAGTAGCATACACCTAAACAAATGGTAACTTTCAAATGCAGCAGAAATACTGAACTTCTATTTGACTGAAGTTGAGTGTTGAGCTGCTGGCTCTGTGAAGTTAAATTTTTAATCAACCATATAGGTATGAGGAAAAATTAGTAGTCAAGAGTAGCAAAGTACAGCATTATTATCATTTAGTCTGTGAAGCAGGCTTAGTCAGTGCTTGTATGAAGCTGCTAGGTAAACACCACCATTTAGCCATGATTTTCGTTGTTACTTGCAAAGATACAGTAATTAACACATTCTTTACTGAGGAAGCAGTGACTTTCAGCAGTTACAGTACTGTATGTGTTTACAAGTACTGCAGTAGTAACATTGTAAAAAGCACAATAAGACTGTATGCACTATCAGTTCCTTGCATATTATTTTGTTTATATGATGCAAAATAACATCTGTAAAGTAAATATATTGTAGAGTTTGGCTCTGTAAGTTTTACTTTCATACAGTTTTAATTCTTGCCTCTATACAACGCTTTTACCCATAAAGACATAACTTTTAAAATTGAAGTACTTAATCAAATTTCGCATGCAAGGAATATAACAATTTTGGATGAACTGTACGCATACAAGGGTGTAAGTGGGCTGTTTGATTTTACAGCATTCAGTTAAATTTTAGTTTAAGAACACTTTATTATGGAATAGCAACATGACTAAACCTATTTTTCCGTGCTATTGCTTTTTTGTGTTTGCACTGAACATCTCTTCTGAGAGTTGCTTGTATGCATGATTAAAAATACATAGTATGCCTAATAATTTTGCATATTACCATTTTTTTCAGTTAAAAATTGAGTGCATCTGTAACTGAAGCAAAATGCATCTTCAGAAAAGTGGTTTCTAAAAACTCTGATACTATAGTTTCATTGCATTTTTTTTGCTCTTATACTATGTACTGAGCATCTTACCATAGCATGCTGTGTATTACTAGATAGAGATACATTTTTTTAATGTGAAGTACAGTAGATTATGCTATGTCGGAGAATTCCCATCCTATTTCTGTAGTAATTAATGCAGAAGAATAAAATACTCAAAGCAGTAAATAATTTCTAATAATATAAATGCTGTGTCTTCTTCTTGTAAAAGCAGGGACTGTACAGCAATCAGTTAACCGCAAGCAGAGCTGGAAGGGTTCTAAGGAGTCCTTGGTTCCTCAGAGGCATGGGCCTTCCCTGGGAGACGGTGTAGTTTATCGCTCAGAAAGTCCCAGCTCTCAGCCTGATGTAGGAAGGCCTTTATCTGGATCTGGCATTGCAGCATTTGCTCAGGCTCATCCTGGCAACGGGCAAAGAGTGAATCCCCCACCTCTACCACAGATAAGGAGTGTCACTCCTCCTCCTCCACCTCCTCGAGGACAGACACCCCCTCCAAGGGGAACTACTCCTCCACCTCCTTCCTGGGAACCAAACTCTCAAACAAAGCGTTACTCTGGAAACATGGAATATGTGATCTCTCGTATTTCTCCAGTGCCACCAGGAACATGGCAGGATGGTTATCCACCTCCACCTATGAATCCTCCACCCATAAATTCTTCCACGCAGGGTCAGAGGGGCATGAGTGCTGTCCCCATTGGCAGGCAACCAATAATCATGCAGAGTTCTGCCAACAGCAAATTTAGTTTTCCCTCAGGAAGAGCTGGAATGCAAAATGGCAGTTGTCAGGCAGAATTCATAGTTCACCAGAACGTGGTGTCTGGGAACTCAGTGAGTCGCCAGCCACCCCCATACTCCATGAATCCAACTAACAGGCAAAGTCCCACAGCACTACAGATGCAGGCAGGAGGATCTGTTCCTCCTTCAGCATACACCAATGGGAATCTTCCTCAGGCAATGATGGTGCCAAATAGAAATAGTCACAACATGGAACTTTATAATACAAATGTAGCTGGAATACCTGCGTCCTGGTCACAGCCTTCCCCTGTGCAACCACAGTCATCGCCTGGCAATGGGCATGACATGCCTACATGGCAACCCAATGTTCCTGTGCGGTCAAATTCTTTCAACAACCATCATGGAAGTAGGCAGAGTCACTCTAGCAGCTCTCAGCCTTCAGCTACGACAGTAACAGCTATAACGCCAGCTCCCATTCAGCAACCCGTAAAAAGCATGCGTGTGTTAAAACCAGAGCTACAGACTGCATTAGCGCCCACTCACCCTTCCTGGATGCCACAACCAGTGCAAACCGTTCAGACCATTCCCTTCTCTGAGAGTCCGTCTACAAATATGGCCGTTATGTCTCCTGTTGCAGAGGTTCCAAATTACCAGGGTCCCCCACCACCTTACCCAAAACACTTATTACACCAGAATCCCTCCATCAATCTGTATGAGACGGGACCCAAGCTCAACAAGGAGGAACCACCTATTTTATCCAAGGAGGATGAGAATGAAAAGAATTATGAATGTGTTGATTCAACAGATAAAGAAAAGAAACAAATTACAACATCGCCTGTTCCTGTTAGAAAAAACAAGAAAGATGAAGAAAGAAGAGAGTCTCGCATTCAAAGCTATTCCCCTCAGGCCTTTAAATTCTTCATGGAGCAGCACGTGGAGAATATACTCAAGTCACATCAGCAGCGTTTGCATCGGAAAAAACAACTAGAGAATGAAATGATGCGGGTAAACTTTCTTCTTTCTAAATCTATGACTAGAGAACTGTTCCCATATTAATTTTAGGAAATATGTCTTAATTGTAGAATGTTTTAGTAGTACAGAAAAATAGAACATTGTAGTATATCGTGGTATTGAAGTCTATTTTTAGTTTTTGTGTCTGAGATGGGGCAAATTCTTCATTGCTTTGTCTACATACTTCATTGTTGTCTTAGAAATTAATTATTTTAAGTAAGATCTTTGCATGTCTAAATGTAGCTCATCTAGCTCATGTATGATAAGGCAGCACAAGCAAAATCATTGTTGCGTGAACTGAGATTTAACTACATGGCTCATAGCTTTTTGTTATGGGTTCTATTTAATCCTGATTTTTGAGTGAGTTATGCAATATTTTAATGATTTTTTAAAAATACTTTTATTTTTTTAAATAAACACTGCAGGTACAAGTAGCAAAGCAGGGACAAGCGGTAGGCTGGTTAGTGCATTTATATAGTCACCCAAACAGTGATACCTTTTACGTTCTACAGTTTGTTTCCAGTAGCGATAGGGTTTTTTAAGTTCAAATCCAAAAGATCAGTATTTAAAAGTTACATTTTTAGAATCAAAGAGACATGGTAGCTTTTGCCTAAGTATTTTATAACCCAGGCTGTAAGGGTATCTGTTTAAACAAGGGGTAATTGAATGGGATAATAAAAAACAGATGTCAACAAAAACATATAAAATCAACTTCTTTGTGCCTACATGAAGTCAGTGGTCTATTTCTGGGATTTCAGTGTTCTAGTAAACCAAATCAAAAGGGTAAAAACTGGAGCTGATTGTATACATACATCATTTCAAAAGAGAAAATAGTGAGAAGTAGTGAAATTAAGATTTGCGGAAATGGAAATTCGAGATATATTACTTATATATATATTTTCTTAACAATTGTAGTTGAAAATCTGATATAAGTGCTATGTCCCTTTTAATTTATTCTATGAAAGAATGTATTTGACTTACGCCACTTTCTTGAAGTGCTGTTTTTTAAATCCATGTTTTCTTACTCTCTGACAATTCTTACTGTAAGCTGTAGTGTTTTATAAGTGTTTGCTTAATCACAAATATGTAAATGTTAGCAAGATTTCTTCCTGGAACTTTTTCTAGATCTTTATTCTTAGCCTTTTTCTCTTTCCTTTTCACTTCCACTAACAGCTGATTTAAACTGTTAAGGTGTGGGAAGCTTTCCTGAACTCTGTAGCCTCCATCCCTGTGTAGACAAGTAAGATTTTGGAGCAACAGTATTTATTAAGAATAGCATGATCCCTTTGTAGAGGGCTTTGCATGCAATCCTGCATCAAAATTAAGCATGAATTTATTTTGACTATTTTTGAGTACTTAAATGTAAGATTATCATTAATGTTGATTTGCAAACTTCACTTTCCCTTCTTACTGTGTTGTGTTCCCTAGTAAGCATAAGTATTACTTATGTGAAAGCACTGATATAACTTTTTTGATATTTTTCTTGTGCATTTAAAGCACCCTAGTAAACCTCTTTTCTTATATGAAATGGCATTTATAATATTTATACTAGATTTAAAGCTGGGATGTTTATTTACAGGCTGAAGGGTGGAAAACGGGGTATTATGCTGCAGCAGACCTCTCCTTTTTCATCAGGGTATAGGAGAGGAATCTCACAATAGTGAAATGTATTTTGGGTCTTTATGAGAAGGAGAAAGGGAAACTAGCTCACTACTTATTTTCAGGAAGTTTAAGAGGATTAAACAAGTATTGAATCCCTTCTTTTCTCTGCTTTGGTAGGAATTTTGAAAGCAAAAAAAATACCAGAATGCATCCCTGGAGAAATACCTACCTTCAGAGGATGCTGATTTCTAGCATAGGTGACATAGTTCTATGCTATCAGGTTTCCTAGGGAATAGAGTGGAGCTGTCTCAAAAACATTTAATTCAGGTGTGTGAATTTGCCCGAGAACTCTGGTAGATGTCTTTGCCGCAAAGAGAAACTTAAGTCATGATTTAAGGCACAGCAAGATGAGAAGGGAGCAAAATGAGAGTGAATTGTGTGATATCATACAGCAATTCAGGAAGCTCTCGTGTCTGGCATTGGCTAGAACTCATCAGAGATGTATGTGCATGAGCGTTTGTGCAGCTGTCAAAGTTGGTTAATTTTTGGTAAATGCTGTAGCTGAGGACAGTTCTAGGGAAAATACAGCAATGCAGAGAGTGATCAGTTTGTGATGAACGTTTGTTTTAGTGGATGGCATAGGAAAAAGTGAAGATGGGTTGGGGGAAGAGATGACAAATTGGGGTACTTGAGCTATTTTTTTACAACAAAATTGTTAGGATGCAACAGCTAGAGAGCAGGTTCTAGAATGTAAAGCTACAAGGTTTTCAGAGACTCTGTTTGTATGTCTTGCAGTGATTAATTACTGTATTGGGTCTCACTCCTTCTAGGGTTTTGTTGCCATCTAGATCATATTCTTTGCCAGGTTTCTAACTGATCAGTGGGGTTCAGTTTGTGTGCAAGTGGGGCTGTACTGAAACAGACTTGATGGTTCAGATGGGACTTGGGAAGGTGACCCACCGTTGTCTGAACTTTAACAGGGTCGAGTCTTCAAATGTCGTCTTGATGATTTGTAAGTCTTCAAAAATCCCTCTTTCTGCATTGACATGTGCCTTAAGCATGTTCATTCACAGAAAACTTGAGATGTTTCTGTCCTGGAAGACAGTGCCTGGCTATTCCTGCAGTAATGTGTTGAGAAAGACAAGTGCTTGATTTGGAGTAGGGAGTTGAACCTATTTCCCACATCCAGTCTTGAAACTACTGCTACCCAGTCCTAACTACTGCCTGTCTGATGTCGTCAAAAAATTTTGTCTCAAATTTGAGACAGCCTTCCCCATTTAAATCTTACTGAATTGATATTCCTTGTGAAGTTTGTTTGGGTAGACAAACATTTTGTATGCATTTTCCTAATTGCATCTCCTTTGGATCCATTTTTGTTTTGATGCCTGTAAGAAATCTTCTGTATTCTAACAGCATTTTCTTTAATAGGTGACATACAGTATCCTGAAAGCATTTTTAAGATACTGAGTGATATCTAGTTGATCTTTTATCTTGCCTTTTTTCTCAGTCACATCTATTATGTTTTGTTGCAAGTTATGTTGTAAGTTAGCCAAAGTACAAGTCATCTATTAACATGCAGCTTATACAGGCCTAGGCTAGTGGTTACCTAGTCCTGATGATGGTCCTGAGTACTGTTATGCAGACAGTATCTTAAACATTTGAAACATTAAGGAGATGGAAGCAGCAAGATTTGGTATCAAGAATTGGTAAGATGTGACAATAAGAAATTGAAAACTTCTGGAATGGTGCTTGAGTAACAGTTGTGATATTTGCAGGGATTCAATTTGGCCATGTTCAGTTTTATGATCAGAATGTCCAGGAAAAAATAAGGAAATATTCTGTAGGTTGAACTTGGAAATCATTGCTGTGGGATGGTGATTTCAAGCTAGGTAGGCAGATAAAATAATTGAGATGCTATGAAAAAGGGAACAAGAAGATTTTGAAAATGCTGACAGAGAACAAAAGAAGGAATGAACATAAAGCTATGTGGGGGTAGTGTCGCAGAGAAAAGAATACAAAAAATTGAGGAAAGATTCTGCTCACGTTAAAACCAGAAAGAAGGGGTATTCTGATTCCAGGGCCTGAAATCTGCCAAGAAAGATGGCACTGGAATTGAGTGGCACTTTAAAGACATTGAAGCCAGCAAAAATACACTAGGAGGAACCCAGGTTGGAATACGACGAGAATGCTTAGTGTGGTTCTTGTAGATAAGATCACTCATCTTGTAGGTGATGAGTTCCGTGTGGCCTGTGAGTGTTTCAGCTGTCAGAATGTTAGTGGTGTTGGCCAGAACACCAGGGATGTTCGCTCAAGATAGGGATGTGTACGCAGATGGCAGCCAAGAACTGATACCATGGGGAGGAGTGAGCCACTTCAAAGAAATTGCTCTGCTCAACTTGTTGGTACGTAGAGTGGAGAGCAGTAGAGAGAGTGTGACTGAAGTCTTGTTAGAAAGAGGTGGGTTATGTGGTAAGAGGGAAGATCAGGTCCTGGCTTGTGGCAGAGGCATGTGCTTGGTGTGGGCGGACAGTAGGAAACAGTGCCATGTGGATCTGGTTTGTGTAGATACGCAGGGAAGCATGAGAGTGGGAGAGTCGCATACTCCCTCCTGCAACCGAAATTCCACCGACATGGTCAGAAGTCCAGTGACTTCCGCTGTAGTTAGTCTAGAGAGTGGAAGCCTTTCCCACTGCAGCTCCTTAGTTAGCCCTCAGCGGCTTACTGCTCCTAGGCATGTCTTGGCTTCCTTTAGCTCTGCAAAGAGAATCAGGGAGGCAGTTGATGCACACTGTTACTCAGATAACTATTGTTTGCAGTGGTTTTTATCAGTAGTTTGTAAATTACCCTTTCTCTCCTTGAGAACATACTTCCTTCTCAAGAACCTCCTGGTGCATGGCACCTCATGCATTTTGCTGTTGAAAGTGATCACGTTTTGTTTTGTATCACTCCTGTATGTTTTCATAGAAACCTAATGTGTAAATTAAAAAAAAAGGGAAACAAAAACCCTTGAAGTATTATTTCCCATGCTGTATACAAGTATTTGGTTTGCTTTGCCTAAGCCTTGTAATTATAAGAAGATCACCAAGAATTAGGAGTACTGTTCACTCTTCAGATTTAATTCTGTTTGCTGCACAGGTTGGATTGTCACCAGAAGCCCGAGATCAAATGAGGAAAATGTTGTGCCAGAAAGAGTCTAATTACATTCGGCTAAGAAGAGCTAAAATGGACAAGTCGATGTTTGTAAAAATTAAAACCCTGGGAGTTGGTGCATTTGGAGAAGTTTGCCTAGCAAGAAAAGTGGATACTAATGCTTTATATGCAACAAAAACTCTGAGGAAAAAAGATGTATTGCTTAGAAATCAAGTTGCTCATGTTAAAGCTGAGCGGGATATCCTTGCAGAAGCTGATAATGAATGGGTGGTTCGCCTGTACTATTCATTCCAAGATAAGGACAATTTGTACTTTGTAATGGACTACATTCCAGGAGGTGATATGATGAGTCTCCTAATTAGAATGGGTGTCTTTCCAGAAAATCTGGCACGGTTCTACACAGCAGAACTGACCTGCGCAGTTGAAAGTGTTCATAAAATGGGCTTCATCCACAGAGATATTAAACCTGATAATATCTTGATAGACCGTGATGGTCATATTAAATTGACTGACTTCGGGCTCTGTACAGGTTTTCGATGGACCCACGATTCAAAATACTACCAGAGTGGTAAGAGAAATAGAAGAGGTTTCTTTGTTATTTTGTTGACGTGTCATTCTTTGCAAGGAACTAAATAATAAATGGGTAGAAAGATGATTGTGCTGTTTCCTTTCTGAATAATAACGCACCTAAGAATATGTCTGCACACCACTCAAATTATAGAAAGCAACGTTTAGTTAGGGAGAGTTTGTAAGTGTGAGCATTGATTTCTTAAGGGAGAAGGAATGAGCTATGCTGCTTAAGTTTGTGCCATCAGTGGCTTCTGAAATTTGGAGAGAGAAAAATCACTGTGGTAGCAAGATAATTACATAGACAACAGCCCTAACTCTGTTTTGAAGATAGGACTGATGTTTGTTTTAAATTTAATTGTTCTTGAAAACCTTGCCCCAAGTTCTGAGTGTCTCATGTACTTCATTTTAGTGTAACCTATTGATTTCTGAGAAAGGCTTAAGTAGGCTTTTAAAAATCCTACTTGATTACTTAAAACAACAGCTAAAAAAAAGTTAGAGCAAAAAAATTTTCACAGTTCTGAGTGATAAAATGCAGATTTTGTAATAACCTATTTTTAAAAATAAGAACATACCTTCAAAAGCAACTTTTAAATTACTTTTGACTTGTTTTTATCAAAATGTCATGTATCTTAGGCCAGACTGTTACACAGTTTCTGTAGAGAAGTTGAAGATTTAAAATCTGATTCTGTCTTTTGATGGTTTAAATGTTGGGTTTTTTCTGTTTACATGAGAGCAAGAACAATATACACCCTGTACCCCCACTGTGGTTATGTTAAGGAAAAACTGAGAAAAGATCAAACTTGATACTTTCTCATAATTATGTCAAAAATTAACTTAACAAACCAATGTCCTCAAAAGTTGGTATTTTATATCATAAGCAAAAAGTCAAAATCCTGATGTTGATGACCTATCTCTCAAATTGAGTGTTGAAATTGAAACAGATTCTGTCTTATAACAAGAAATGTTAACAGATAAAGTTTCGTAGTAGTTAAGAACTAAAGTAATCTTCCTCGATCTTGGCATCCTTCTCACTCAATTGTAGGTGATCATGCACGTCAAGACAGTATGGATTTCAGCAACGAATGGGGTGATCCAGCAAACTGCAGGTGTGGAGATCGGCTGAAGCCACTTGAACGTAGGGCTGCACGTCAGCATCAGCGCTGTCTGGCCCATTCCCTTGTTGGCACACCCAATTATATTGCGCCGGAAGTGTTGTTACGAACAGGTAAATGCATTTTTGTACTGTAATCTCACTGCAAAGTAACTGATACTCAGGTAGCTTGCTTCACCTTTCTTACACTGCCACTTTTCCCAAGTATATAATACTTTGACAAAAAATAAATAGTTAATATGGGAATCTTAAACAAGTACTGAATAGAATTCTCTTGTGAACCCTTTTTATTCTTAGAAATACAAGATTAAAATTATACTGAGGCTCTGACTACCTTGGTTTGACTTCATTTCAGGTTACACACAGTTGTGTGACTGGTGGAGCGTTGGAGTAATTCTCTTTGAAATGTTAGTGGGGCAGCCTCCATTCCTGGCACAAACACCACTGGAAACACAAATGAAGGTAACTTTAAAAGTCCGGTATTAACAGTCTGAAAAAGCAGGCTTGGAATTTACATAGTCTTTCTAATTTGTAATGGAATCAAAAGTGGTTTTCAGAGTGCTGCTCTATCCAAGCATGTTGTAAACTGACAAGATTTTAAGCTTTGCAGTACTGTGGCAGTCCCTTAGTTTGCAAAGGGACTTCAAGGATCATGTTCACCTCTTTCATCTGGTCAGACAGTAAACATGCCAACTAAAAAACACATTTCAGATCGCAGCCATTCCCTTTCACTTCTTGCACCTGTTCTGTTGTTATTTCTGCTTTGTTTTCTTCTCCTCTTCCAGCATCTGGGTGCTCTTTTCCCACCACTTGGCTTCCACGCCCACTCACCTGCAGAGGATTTCCTTTGGTGATGTATCTGCGGGTGCTCAGCATGCAAAGGTGGAGGAGCAGCAGATGACCATGGCTGCTCAGGGTTACTGGCAGCTCAGAGCCGTTGGTCCCTCCCCTCCTGAGCCCCAGCTGTTTCAGAGAAACCACCAGGGCAGTCTCCTGCAGGTGCCGTTTTTGCAAAACTGCATTCAGTTTGCAAGATATTAGTTGGCTCAAATGTAGTGCAGTATTGATTTTTTTTTTTTAACTTTAAATCTGTTGATCTTCCCAGTGCATCAAATAAATCAAAGTTCGTTTGCCTCACCTTCTTTTTAAGATTGTAAGCCATGGGCCTAATCTCAGGTTCCAAGTGCTGGATTTTATGGTATCTTTGTTGGTTTATAGCAGGGGTATTCTGTGCCAGACTCTAGTTTAGATCTGGAATGTGAATAAACTTTACCTGGATTTTGCCAGATTTCCAGACAAAATATTCCTTGTGTTTCTGAAAGAGCAGCTTCACGTTTTCCCTTCTCTAGTATGAAACACACGTATTGAATGATTGCTTTGTGGCTGTTTGGTTTTTTGTTTTGTTTTCTTGTTTTAATTTTCACTGTGTTTTTTCCTTTTTATGAAATTGTAAATATAAATAACACCTCTTTTTGCTTTACAGGTTATCAACTGGCAAACTGCACTTCATATTCCACCTCAAGCTAAATTGACTCCAGAGGCCTCCGACCTTATTATTAAACTCTGCCGAGGGCCAGAAGATCGTTTAGGCAAAAACGGTGCGGATGAAATAAAAGCTCATCCATTCTTTAAAACAATTGATTTTTCAAGCGATCTACGGCGGCAGTCTGCTTTCTACATTCCCAAAATTGCTCATCCTACGGACACGTCAAACTTTGATCCAGTTGATCCAGATAAATTGTGGAGTGATGATGACAAGGAAGGGAACAGAAACGATACACTTAACGGGTGGTACAAAAATGGAAAACATCCTGAACATGCTTTTTATGAGTTCACCTTCCGAAGGTTTTTTGATGACAATGGCTATCCATACAACAATCCAAAGCCCATTGAATATGAGTATGGTACTTCCCAAAACTCAGAACAGCAGTCAGATGATGATGATGATGATGATGATGAACAGGCAGGTAGAGGAGTTCAAAATCGTGACCTGGTTTATGTTTAGTAGAGGAATAAAGATTAAAAACTAAATAAACTTACTTTGCAGCTGCAATTTTTGAAAAGTCTGTTCTCTTAAGAGAATTGAGAGAAGATTGCTAGGGTAAATACATGCACACTTTTTTTTTTTTTAACACTAAGAAAATTGTGTCTTTTCTTTTCCTCTTTTTACATTTTGTTTCCTCCAGAATACAGGGAAATCCTTCTCAAATATTAATTTATTCCAGCATTGTTGATTGTTAATTTAGAAGAGATTTGATGTTAGGTGAAAAAAAATACCACTTGAATTTTATTATCGGTTCTCTGTACTCTGAGTACTCAAAATAGGAAATAGTGATGATTTTTTTTTCCCTAAGATGATGCTTGCTATCTATTTGTACATATACTGAATAATTTTAGAAAACAAATCTCTGCTTCAGAATTTTTAATGACAGTTTTTCCTTGCATTGACCAAATATAAAACCTTCTTTACACTAATAAAACGCTCTGATACATTTCTAAAGAGAGGAAAAAAAAAAAAGGCTGCTGTACCCTCACTTCTCACTGTATTTAGCCTAATTATTCACAGCGTTGGAAAAACTGAGCCGTCTATCTGGTGAAATGTTTCCAGCTGCTGTGGTAGTGGGCATAGTTCTCAGCTTTGGAACAAGAAAGTGTCAGTCTTGGCTACAGTACGACTGTAAAGTGATAAAGCATTAGAACTAATATTTTATTAAATAGTAATTGAATTTGACATGAGTAATGCTGTAGCGTGTGACTGGTACTCTCAAAGCAGAAGGACTGCTCACTCGGAAACAACTTGATTGTCTCCTGTTGTCGGTTCTCCTATAGTTACGAGAGGAAAAGAGCTTCAGGAAAAACACTTTCTGAAATCTAGTTTAATTTTCTGACTGCAACCAAACTGTAAAGTGTGTACAGTTCTGCTTTAGTTGCAATTTTTAGTTTGAAAAATAAATTTTAGAATAGCTTCTTTATTATGTGCTTGAGACAGTAATGGGAAAAGATTATAAATTATGGCTTTTGGGACTGTTGTTGTGGAGACCAGTTTCACTTGGCTTTAACAGTTTTCCTCCTAGTTAGGCAGGCAGTGAGGAGAAATGTCATGCACCGATCCATCTGAGCCGTCAGTACAGTTTCAGTGGTCTGTCTTTTACAGCCCAGTTCAGAACAGAATTAGGAACTTAGGGCTGTGTCTGCTGCCTCCTGCGTTACTGTTTTCATAGTTTCCCGCTGCAGGTGAGCAGGCGTCCCCTTGGGTCTCATGGTAGGGAGGGTACTGAGCCCGTTGAGGTCACTGAGAGCGGGGCAACCCTCTAAGCAGCTTCCCTGAGACAAGATCAGGAGTTACAGGTGAGAGGCAGAAAGAATTGCGTTTTTTATCTCTCTCTCCTCCTTTCTCCTGAAGCTAACACAGTGGTAAATAAAATGCACTATTTTTAGTAATCTTCGTGTCTTTTAAAACATTTCCTCCTCCTTGGAATTGAATTCCAATGGATAATAATGTGCCTGTAAGCGTTACTGCTTTCTTAAATTATTATTTGTGCCATTGCACTGGCATTGTGACTATCTAAACATCATGAAATTGGTGTTCATAGCTGTTCTTGCAGCAAACACCAGTTACTAGTTTACTTTTTTCACCAAGCTGGTTTAAGAAATTCTTGTGCGCTTCCGGCCATTCGTTCCCTTTCTGTGCTCCAGTTCAGTGTCTCTCTGTGTGCCAGTGCAACTGTCTATAGTACTGTGCTAAATACTGGATCAGTGGAAAAAAACTGCTTGGTGTTTAGCGTTTGGAGATCTATTTCTTGTAAGTACGTTCGGGTGATCCAGTTTCCAGCGTGGTCCAAAAAGTGGTTTATATTGGCATAACTGAGGAAGGAGTGAACTGCAGTAAAGAGGGTTGGCAGCGTGGAAACTTCTTAAACGGACTTTGTCACGGGAGAAAACGTTTGTGGAAGTTCACCCCTCTACTGTGAAGTGCTTATCATGGTTAGAAGATGGTTATGAAAAATTGTTTCCTTTTCTCAAGCAGGTGGTTAGTTACTTTCTATGATGAAAATGGGTTTGTAGCTTGATAAAACAATTCATGTTCTGTCTTCCTGTTCCACAGCTGTTGAAATGGAATAGTTTTAAAGATTCATTTCATTTAGCTTAAATATTATAAAATGGCTGCCGTGTATAACTACTCCATTTTATATATTATGTAAAAAAGATTGTTTTCCATGTAAATAAACCTTTAAAGATTATCCTCCTTCATAGTAAGTATCCCAGTAAAACTGGTCTACTTGTCTTGGAGTAAAGTATAATATATTACTGGTTAAAGGTGATTTAATCAAGCCTGCCTTACCATTTGTGAAGTGTGCAGAGAAAATAATGTCAATTCTTCATTAAATTGACTGTTAAAATTGCCTTTTTATCTGAGTATGTTTCTCCTCTGCCTGCATTGTATTATGTTATATTCCTGTTTAATGCTATAACTGGTCATTAACCAATGTGTTTAAAAAAAAAAAGAGGGGGGGGGAAGTCTGTAAAGGCACCATGGTTCTATACAAGCAAAAACAATTGCTTTTATGAAAGGAAATTATTGAGTCTTTTAAGGACATGTGCAAGTACTGAAATACTAAATATTATTTTACCATTTTAAACAAATATAGGAAGAGCTCACATCTTTAGAATTTGGTAGATGCTTCTAGCATTTTCTGTTATCTTGTGTTAGAAGTTGTAATGTACCTTGTTTGAATTTTGCCACCTGTATGCTGCAGTATTATATATTTCCTTGCAAAAATGCAATGTGTTACAGGCCAAGTTCTCTGAGAAAGTTAGTTATAAGTAAATGTTGTCACAACTCTCCAACATGCTATGCCTTACCCATGTTTTGAAACGTCACGTTTCATACATAGATTCAGAGTCTGTTGAGATTCTTCATAGCTGCTGCTTAAAACATGGGTATTTCACTGGTGCCCCATGATGGGGATTGGTTTGTACAGGCAGTTGAGAAGAGAGGCTCCTAACCAGCAGCTGTGGAATTCTGCAGTAAGTTTTAGTTCAGGTTACTTTCACTTTGTAAAGCATGAAAATAAATTTCTCTTTTATGAGCCCTTGTATGCATAGTAATTGTATTTATAAAATGTTCTATAATCCCATAACGGTACTGTAAATACTATTTGATACTCAGTGGCATTCTATCGTAGGGCAGGCCCTCTTGCTGTATCTTTTCTATCCTCAATTTGTAATAGAATCTATAGAATATATGGCTAGAAAGTCTGTTTGAGACCGACATATCTTCTGCTGTTGCAAAGCTGTGAGTGGGAATGATTTATTTAGACTCCTTTTAATATTATTCAGCTAATAGGCAGTGCAGTGGGTGGGTTCTTAGACGATGCTGCTGTCACCCGAGATACTATTAGGCTTTGGTTTCAGATGTCTTTGGTGTTTCAGATCAGACCTTTAATCTACTTGCTTTAATTCAGCCAAAGCAAAAAGATAATAAATTGGGTCAATGTCATAGTAAAATGTTGGAATGCCTTAAGATGCTCTTGATAAAGGCACTGTTCAAGTTTACTGATTTATATATATATCTATATAGATATATAGATATATTCCATATGTGTATATGTATATATAATGTCTTTTTTGTATTATAAATATCTTTCTGACTGTCGGTTCTTTTGGCTCCTCTAATTAAATACATAGACCACCGCACAATTCCGCTTAAGGAAATTATTCATTTATTACATGCCTACTTAGTAAACTTGAATCTTGCGTTATCTCACGGCCATAGTAAGTTACTCGCTGGGCTTCCGAGTATTGTGTACTTGTCTCTGTCACAACATGGGCATCCCCTTTTGCCAGGTCTCTGCATACCTGTAGTCCAGCTACACGTGTGGTATGTGATCTGTGAGTGCTTACTGGTGTGTTTGGGTTTTATAGGGTTCTGTGGTGGTGGCTTGGACCATAATCTCCGAGTCCCCTGATACTCGTATGAAAAGAAGGCACATCTTTTATGCTGACTTTTCCAGGAGGTACCCTGGAGCGTCCTTCCCCTTTGTGCAGGAGCGCCAGATTTCCTGTTCGTCTGTCTGTGGCCGGTAGTTGAGGAGCTGAGGCTTCCTTGCCCCTGCTGACTGAACTGTTGGTGCAGTGTGCCTATTTGACCTAAGGGATGTGAGTGGATGGTTGCATTGATGCTTATTTAAAAGTTACTTCAGAGTAAGAGAAAGAATTCCAGCACTTGTGAACAGCCTAACTGAATTATCAGCTACTGGTAATCAGTGACATTCCTTCTGAGTTTTAGAAACTGTTTCTCTTTTCTCAGAATCAGTTTCTGTAGTGTAACGCCTGCTGGGGTAATAAAAAATACAATTAATCTTTATAAGAAGTGAAAATCAAATTCTTTTTTTGGCTAACCAAATATGAAATGTAAACATTTATTTTTCTTTCCCTCTTCACACCCCTTTCCCCTGAGTTCCCATTACGCTGCAACAGCTCTACTGATTAACAAAAAAATTGCATATGTTTAATAGTAGAAATGTTATTGTACTTAGCTGTATGTTTCTTAACCTGTTCACAAAAGTATACATTTGATGTTCAAGAGTTGAATTTATTGGTGCTCTTTCTCTTGTCCTCTGCTGCCTTTCATCAAATAATTAAATCTTAGTTATTTATGATACATACATTATGTGTCATGAAGCTATTCCTTCTCTTTGAGATATGACAACATATCACAGCTTTCACGTTTAATTAGGAAGGAAAATTGTCTTTGAGAAAGTCCACTTCTTTAAGTGTACATCTCAAACTGCTGATGCAGAAACCAGTATCTTAATACAGTCTCTGCAATATGTCCTAATTCTTCTACCTCTGGGGGGGCGTGAGGGGGTGGAAGTATAGCACCATTTCTCATTCATTAGCAACGTATAAACGGAAGAAGGGTAATCCCTCCAGCTCTAATCAACCAAGTGATGTGATACAGTAACACCTAAAGTAATGTAGAAATGATAGTTTTAAATTCAGACACTCATTAAAGGGATAGACTAAAGTTGCCAATATAACAACGTTAAATGGGTAAAAATGCAAGAGCAAAAGAGTAAGAATGGATGCGATAAACTTAATTGAAAGACTACATAATGCTGTAGGCCTTCTGAGTTCACCCTAAGGGACTATCATAAACCTGCTGCATTGTGCCCAACCTTTAGATCCTATTTGTTGCTAAGCAGCTGAGTCTATTTAGATGGGCGATAAGTTACTGCTCCATCAGGGACACCGTACTCAAGGACAGTTTCCTGTGGCTTACTGAGCTCAAGATCTGGTTGTCTACAAGCCCTGTGGTACACGACGTGTTTTCTTTCCCAGAACAACACCCTTTATAACAGTTTGAAGAGCTAGAGACCGTCACAAAAGCAATGAATATGTGGGGGGGGGGGGAAAGGATACACGCTTTTCACTAGGCAAAACCCATCTTTGCAAATTACGGAAAGTAAATAGCTGAATGAAGCCCCTCTTCACCGATTGATCCTACTTCTCCTGCTCAGCCTGCTGTCTGCCAGGGTGGGCCTAGTCTGTGCTGGTAGCATTCCTCACCATGCTGCATCTTTCCTCCTTGGAGCTATAAACTTGCTTTTTTTTGGCCTGTCTGTGCTCTCAGGCCTCTTGTGTGCTGCTGTCACGTTACACCTGTGGCAACGCATACCAACTCTCGCCAAAGTCCTATGTTAAATACATTTAAAAATCAAACGCTATTTCACGGCAGCATTTCTAGTATCCCTGAAATTCCTAAGACGGCCACGGTAGCTTTCCATTGCCGTAATTCTTTCAGTGCCTCTCCACCTCTGGGAAGAAATTCAATCCCCTTTGAATAGGGCCGTTCCCCTCAAACGCCGCCGCGGGCTTTCAAACGGTCGCGGCGGG